CTAGCCAGGCGTGGTGGTGGGCGCCTGTAGTCCCAGCTGCTCAGGAGGCTGAGGCAGGAGAATGGCGTGAGTCCGGGAGGCGGAGGTTGCAGTGAGCCGAGATCTCATCACTGCACTCCAGACTGGGCGATAGAGCCAGACTCCGTCTCAAAAAAAAAAGTTTTCTTGAATCGATAAATGAATGAATGAATGAATGAATACTAACATAAGTGAATATGTGAATAAATGGCTGTACATGCACAGGCATGGTAAAAAGAGAAAACAAGCTTTTGTCGATGTTGTTTAATGCAAATAAAGTGGATTTAGACATTTGTTCCTGTTTTTCATTTTCAGGTGATCCTTGTCTTTGTACTAAGCATTGGGTCTCTTATTATCTATTTCATCAATTCTGCTGAGTGAGTACAATGTCCAGCCATGCTTGTCTGCTATATCAGTACATTGCTCGGCTAATTTGGAATTTTCTCCTCAGGAATAATGCTTAATATACTTTCACACACACATGCACGCACACACACAAGCTCATAAAGAATGATGTGTTTGGCCTCTCCCAGTAAGCACTAAGCCCAGCTCTGCAAAATATACAAGAGTTTCCTTGTATCCTGCCACCTTCCACTGCTAGGGGTCAGGGTGGTCTGCAACCCCCACCCCAGATTTATTCTGGAGTCTCTGGGACAGCAGCCTTCAGCTTTCTTTCCCTCACTTAGGCCACTCATAAAGATTTTGTATGTCTTTGGTTTCCTTGGGTGTTGGAGCAGAAACTTTTGGTTTCCTTGGGTGTTGGAGCAGAAACTCTGTTGTAGTTTCAGGGTTTCTCATAGGTTTCAGGCAACTTCGGATGGTATTAAGAAAGGAAAATGCCAGCCCTCACCTGCGACAAAGAAGCGAATTGTTGCCTGCTGTCTCTGAAAGCATCCCCTTCTTATTGCTCAGGGTTAGGGCAGCTATTTTGGACAAAGCCCACTCTACTCTGAATTCCATGTCAATCACGTGGGAATTATATTGGATTTCTAGCTAAAATGGACTTGGGATTGCAGGGCCGCAGAAAGCCAGGCAACTTTAGAGAACCTAGGGAAACTGGTTGTCTTTGCATTGTAAATTCCTAAGAGATCTTTTAGGAGATTTTCTTTGAAATTGGTTCAAATCAATCCATTTGACCTAGAGTATCTCTGTATCAGAAGAGAATAAAGTCAAAACATACTGACTAGATAGATGATCTTGCAAACCAGAAAGAGCTCCCTCATCTCTCTGGCTCTGAATCCCCATTGTTAAAATGGAAATAGAACCAATACATCCTACGAAAGAAATTGTGGGTAATTTTTCTGTTATTTCCAGTGCCATGGGCAGTCCACTGGTTTTGTTCATGCATTCCTCTACTCCCAAAAGAAAAGTTAATTTCCTTGAGATCTGAACTTAAGTATCTGGATTCATGGTGAATAAAGAAAAATTTTCCTATTCTTTCCCTTTAGTTGATCTTATATAGACATCACTTTTAAAATGTTCATCTTCACAAACTGTCCTTCTTTCTTTCCCAGCCCTGTTGGAAGCTGTTCATCATACGAAGATAAAACCATTCCTGTTGATTTGGTTTTCAATGCTTTCTTCAGTTTCTATTTTGGATTGAGAGTAAGTACCTACTGAAAGTGGGAGTGAATATCCAAACACCACAGGCACAACATACAGAGAACTAACTGTGTCTCAGTTAGTCCTACAATCTGCCTGAGTTTTCAAACTCTAAAGATAGATCATCTGTGCCCTAACTTGCTAAATATATACTGATCCCTAAAAACTCTTTCTCTTGCACGTGAAACCCTAAACCAGGTTAAAAGTTCCAATACAGCATGAAAGTGATTCTTTTGTTAAATGCCATCATCGTGTTCCCATGGCCTCATTACTGGCTTCCCATCTTTACTAATAAAGTCAAATGAGCAGAACTTGAGTAGCAAGTCTCTGGAGATGTCCTTGCCTCCACTGGTGGCATGCCTGCAATACAACTGTGGAAAATAACTTTGTATCTTTATTTCATTTTGTTACACTCATTTGTTAAATATTTCTTTCTCTCTAGAGGTATTTATTAAGACCTTTTCTAGATCTAGATTTCAATCTCTTTATTAATTCCTTGTTTGTGGGAGACTAATGTGTGTATATAAAATATACACATATATGTATGTATATATAGGCATGCTATATACAAAAACATATCTTTTTTTTTTTTTTAAAGACAGGATCTTGCTTTGTCACCTAGGCTGGAGTACAATGATGCATTCTTCGCTCACTGCAACCTATACCTCCCAGGTTCTAATGGTTCTTCTGCTTCAGCCTCCTGGGTAGATGGGATTACAGGTGCCTGCAACCATGTCCAGCTAATCTTTGTATTTTTGGTAGAGACAGGGTTTCACCATGTTGGTCAGGCTGGTCTCAAACTCCTGACCTCAAGCTATCTGCCTGCCTTGGCCTCCCAAAGCATCCACATAGCATATAAATATATGTGTCCGTGTATATGTAAAACAGAAGGAGATCAAGGCTTCAGCTGATAAGTAAAATGTAGCTGAATAATGCTGTCTCTTGTGTTCCTTTAAAATTCTTGAGGGTAACAGAATTTGTGTTATTCTGTTTCCGTTTCATAGTTTATGGCAGCTGATGACAAGATCAAGTTCTGGCTGGAGATGAATTCTATCGTAGATATCTTTACCATCCCACCGACCTTTATTTCTTACTATTTGAAGAGCAATTGGCTAGGTAAGTGTGCTGTGGGAACTGGTAGCAATATCTATGAAAAAATAAAAACTCAACATTCATTTTTAAGTATCTATTTTTCATTTTTGCTTAATGCCTGACTGTCATTTTAAAAACCCCTCACCTTAATAGTATGGTTTTGCAATACACTTGCAGAAACCTTTTAACTTTAACACTTTGCAATGCAGCAGGCACACAGTAGGTGTCCAATAGGTGTTGATGGAATTGACTGCATTTGTCATGTGAGAGGCAAGGTACCAACATCTCATTCCCCTCATGACACCTTTATGCTGGGATCCCACAGGACCTGGGGGAGGTGAAAAACCTCCCTTTGTCTTTAAAAGCTAATCATCACCTCCATATGTACTATGGCATTTTAGAGAATTATTTAATTAATTGTTTTGTCTTTAAGGTGAATGTGTTGACAGTGCATGGACATTATGTAGCTTTTATCAGTTTCATAAAATAAATATGAATTCCATTCTTTGCTAACATTATCATACCACCTAAAGTAAAATATTATACAAACATTGTGAAGCATATCATAGAGACTGTAATATCAGGAGTTTAAGTGGTTAAGGGAAAATTTGCTCTCTGTTCTAAAGAAGGGTTAAATAGAGTAAAATGAATAGTCCCCATAATATGTCAGGCATGCTTCTACATGCTTGATAGGGATGCTACAACTCTGTGAGGTTGGTACTATTATAATAGTAACATTTTACATTTTACATTCCCATCTTACAGATACTGAAATCAATCTGTAAACCTAGCTACCTCCTTTGCCTATAGGAAAGGCTGGTTCTTATCCTACGTAATAAGAAATCTAGGAAATGGATCTCAACCACTAGAGATGGTGAGGGGATTGCCTTAGGTTACAACAGTGTCAGGGCTAGTATTTGAACTACAGCTTAAGCTGTTACACCTATAACATGAGAACAGATTTGGAACATGTCGAGAAGAAAAAGAATGTAAGCAATTCCAATGATGTTATAACGTAGGCTCCCTCTGGGGTGACCCTCTGATTTTGGCAGCTTTCTTCTTTCCACTGGTTTGTAGGTTTAAGGTTCCTAAGAGCATTGCGGCTGCTAGAACTCCCTCGAATCTTGCAAATTCTACGAGCCATCAAGACCAGGTAAATAGCCCTGACCGAAGTACTGCTTACTTACTAGTTTGGATTAGAAAATGAATGTATTAACTGGACCTTAAACTCAATGCATTTCTTATCAGAATTTCAGTGCAAAGATCATGAAATCTCTCAGCTGCCAAAATATTATTTGTTCACATTCTCCCATTATATTGCATCTTAAACTAGCTGAAAACTTTGCAATCATTTTAAATAGCTGGTTTAGTCTTTGTTTTGTAAAGCTATGGTGTATAAGTTTATTTAGGTTTTAATTCTAGGTCCCTCCACCAAAAAAAAAAAAAAAAAAAAAAAAAAAAAAGTCAAAACAATTCAGTGAAACAGAGAACACAGAATTGCTTTAACAACGCACGTCTCTCCTGGCTAGGTAAAGAAAAATAAATAATTCTTCAAGCGTTAGAGTATAAAACAATTCCTTGAAGCATATGTT